ATAATCATTTCTTTCTCTAGATTGGGCCATCTTCTATGTCACATTTTTCAGAAGATTTTCTATTTTTCCAAGGCCTTAAACATTTTTTTGAATGTGTCCTAATAAACTAGTTGTTTAAATCTCTGAGGCACTATGACAAGATAATGTTAATAAGATTTCTTGATTTGTAAGTAAACAGAAAAAAAATATATTTAAATCTTCACAAAAAATGCTCTTGGCATCCCCAAAATATTCCTGAAATATCTAAAATTCTGTTACATCTCATTTGCCAAACTGCCACCCGATCAGCTTTCCCAGGCATATATTCTGGTATGCATGTAGGAAACATAAGGCATTATGGAAAATATTATTTATATTTATCCATTTATTAAGTTCTTTGAGAATCTATATGTCCTGGTGAAATTAAGAGCTCTTGAGCTACGTTACTTTGCAAGAATATTTAAAAAATGATAGTATGTATCTTTAATAATGATGAAGCTGTAGATTACATTTAACACGTTGTAAATCAGGGGTCTTCAAACTTGGCCCTTTTATGACTTGTGGACTTCAACTCCCAGAATTCCTCAGCCAGCTGGCTGAGGAATTCTGGGAGTTGAAGTCCACAAGTCATAAAAGAGCCAAGTTTGAAGACCCCTGTTGTAAATAGTTCCAGTTAATCACTTGACAAATAATAGAGCAAGCACCTTCTGACTTTCTTTGTTACTATTGATAGGGGATGATGTTTATAAAGACCCATAACTTAGTATGAGACAATTGCCAGATTTTTTCAAAAACAAATAAGGCAAAAGCATCTAAATCACCTATAATTCCTGCATGATGTAAATCAGGAGTCTTCAAACTTGGCCCTTTTATGACTTGTGGACTTCAACTCCCAGAATTCCTCAGCCAGGCATTCTGGCTGAGGAATTCTGGGAGTTGAAGTCCACAAGTCATAAAAGGGCCAAGTTTGAAGACCCCTGATATAAATCATCAATAGGAACCACAAATGAGGAATTTTATATTATGCAAAGACCTCACAAAGATCACAAAAGAAAGGGTAACATTTATTAACATGCTGGAAATATCACACCTCTCTCAATTGAATTGAACTGAATTACACATCCAGTGTGTGGTTGGCAATTGAGGTCACAGAGATTAAAAATATTTTTAAAAACTCAGCAATCTCTCTTTAGGAACAAACTGGGAAGAGTAGATCCCAAGCATTTTGCCCCTTAATATTAGCCACTTGTTTGTGTGAATGTGTCACAAAGATTTACAGAACCCACTTATTACTGAACACTTATCAATTGCTGTTCAAAAAATCACTAATGGCATCTCTCCAGGAAGAAGTTGTTATAATACTTTTATTTCTACTGGTTGCCAAACCAGATATTTCAAGCTAAAAGCACGTTCCTCTCTGGACAAAACTGATTTTAGCTTTTTGAGAAGCCCATTGCCAAAAAGAAGATTCTGCATTCTCTCTATAACTAATGTATTACAGGTAATCCTCAACTTATAAGCATTTGTTTAGCAACTGTTCATAGTTACAATGGCACTGAAAAAAGTGACTTACAACTGGTCCTCGTGTTTATGACCGTTGCATCAACCCCACTGTCAGATGATCAAAATTTGGGTGCTTGGCAACAGTTGGGTCCTATCAACACCATTTGGTACCTTCCCGGCAACTTCCAATAAGCCAAGTCAATGGGGGAAGATGGGTTTGCTTAATAACTGCATGATTCACTTAACAACCGTGGCAAAAATGTCATAAAATCGGGCACAACTCATTTAACAGCCACCGTGCTTAGAAACAGAAGTTCTGGTTGCAACTGCAGATGAGGACTCCTGTATTTATAAATGTGAAACATCTTCTCTCCCCCAAATTCTCTTTGTTCATGGAAAGCCACACCCGAATAATGGACAAAAACCTCTACTGTACGGATAGATCAACTTAAATGGAAATTCATTTACTTATACAACTTCATTCATATGGCAACTTTAGCACACCGTAATTGTTTAGCAAAAGACATTGCCCATTTATTGCATATTGTTCTAAGGAAAAAAAAAATCTCAACCTGCTTGAAGGTTGTATTTGATCAGCCAAAGCTGGAGAAACACAAAGCCTAAAGAGGTGCTAGGCTTATCATGACCACATAAACCAAATTATATGAACTGCAAATTAACTCCTTTCTCAATTCCATGCTCCGATTAAAAGGACTTCTTTCTGTCCATCAAATGCAATAACCTTTGTCCTGTAGCTCTTTTTACATCAATGAAGAAGACTAATCTCAAAAATATTCATCCCCCAGACAGTGCTTCAACAGATATCTTGGCAAGTCCGGAGAGGAAAGTGTTATTGTATTACATCATAACAACATTTACAAGGAAGGAAGGGTATTTCCATTTGAAAGAAAGAAAGAAAGAAAGAAAGAAAGAAAGAAAGAAAGAAAGAAAGAAAGAAAGAAAGGAAGGAAGGAAGGAAGGAAGGAAGGAAGGAAGAGGAAGGAAGGAAGGAAGGAAGGAAGGAAGGAAGGAAAGAAAGAAAGAAAGAAAGAAAGAAAGAAAGAAAGAAAGAAAGAAAGAAAGAAAGAAAGAAAATCTTCCTTGAAAGAGATTAATATTAAAGGGGGTCACAGTTTCTTTTTAAAAATGTAGTATTTATAACTAGCAATCCGGGTAGCCCTTGATTACAGGTGCAGTTGGGATCGGACCATCCATTGCTAAGTGATGCAGTTGTTAAATGAATTACTCCTTTTTGACATGGCCGTTAAGCAAATTCAATTTCCGCCACTGACTTTGCTTGCCGAAGCCCTCTGGGAAGATTGCAGGTGGCAATTGTTGTTTTTCTTTTTTCTAATTTTCCATTTCTGTTTGTTTGTCTTTTAACTTTGTATCTTTTTTTTTGAAAACCAATAAAAGTTATTTTAAAACAGTAATAAATTCATGCTGGTGCCAAGCACCTGAATTTTGATCTTGTCATAAGTGATTGCAATTATAAATCACTTTTTTCAGAACCCTTCATAACTTTGAAAGGTCATTAAACAAATGGCCATCAGTCAAGGACTACTTGTACCTTACCAGCTGCATGAGTAGCATGACATGTCGATGGCATACAGACACCTTGATACAATTATCTTCACTTGCTGTAGACGAACAACATTTATTTTTCTACATAATATCTCTGGAGTTCTCTCACAATTTGCAAGTTATTATGTCACTCAGATTTTGAAAGCAACATGGACTGTATATGCTATATTTCAGGATCTATTTATTGCGGGGCGCCTGGGGCAGCTCCACCCCCCCCACCCTCACCCTAGCTTGATTTTTACGTTCGTGCCTTGCCCCAAAACTAGGACTTATTTGGGGGGTAGAGCTTATATTAGGCGCATCTAGGGCTTATTTTTGGGATAGGTCTTATTTTTGGAAAAACACGGTATTAGATGGGAAAAAGTTTCTACACTGCAGGGCATAAGGGAAGAAGAGACAGGATGGTTTTGGACAGGGTGGTTCTCCAAGACAGATGGAGAAGAGAAAAAAACATACCAAAGAATGGGAGGGAGGAATCCATTTTTAGAGGCAAACACAGAGAAAAAAATCTGACCTAAAGAAGAGGATTGAGACGTGTTTGAGGAATTAGTTCTAGGTTCTCCCTCTAGATCAGTGATGGCGAACCTTTTAGAAACCGAGTGCCCAAAAACCGCCCCACCCCGCCAGCCCACCCCCAGCCTGCCCGCTCCCGCCCCACCTACCCGCAGGGCCACCCACCACCTCCACGGCCCGCCACACCTCACCCAGGTGACCCTGCAGTGCCATAGCAGCCACGCCTTCCACCCGCACCCTGCAGCATCATCTGCACGCAACGGGGTATGAGGGCGGAGTCTTCTCCCTATTGCCTGGCTGCCATGTCCTTGGCTGCGCTGCTCCGCGTGGGCCGTGCCCGGGGGCGACTCTCCTCCGGGAGGGTTTCTGGTGAGGAGGGGGCTGCAGGGGGAGGCGGGGCTGGGGCAATGGCACGTGTGCCCACAGAGAGGGCTCTGAGTGCCCCTTCTGGCACGTGTGCCATAGGTTCGCCACCACGGCTCTAGATTATGTACAGCCTCTCAAGCAAACATTTCCACAGGTAACTCTGTTTCTCTGTTGAAGATGCTTCAGTTCCCATAGATTGACCCATCCTGAGACCAGGGAGGCATGTTGCCATGGTGGATGGTCAACTAAAGGTAGAGACATGATAAGATATCAAAATAAGGGTGCTTGTGGTCCATGCACTCAAATGCGGGATGTGATAGAGAGGCTACCAAGATCCTCTAAACTCACTGACAACCATCCTTTCCTTCCTTGCCACAGTTGTTAAGTGAATCACTGCAGTTGTTAAGTTATTAATCTGGTGGTTAAGTGAATCTGGTTTCCCCATTGTCTTTGTTGTCAGAAGGTTGCAAAAGGGGATCACATGACCCCGCGACACGGCCACCGTCATAAATATGAGTCAGTTGGAAAGCATCTGAATTTTGATCACATGATCATGGGGAGGCTGCAACGGTTGTAAATGTGAAAAGTGGTCATAAGCCACTTTTTTCAGTGCTGTTGTAACTCTGAACAGTCACTAAATGAACTGTTGTAAGTCGAGGACTATCTGTATATAAAAAAATACAAGGAATAGCCCATCATCAAATGAGAGTACAAGGTGGTCTTCAAAAACTATAGGAATTGTTTCAAAATGGCTCCAAAGCTTGGAAGAGGCTGAGCTTGTAAAAAAATGCTAACAGAAGATTTTGGGGGTATTTTAGAAGCAAAAGGAAAGCCAGATAGGATATAAGTCCATTGCAAGGAATGGTGAATCAGTAAAGGATGAGTGTACAGTAGAAGCTCTGCCCCCTTTTTATATGACTCAGCACCAAGGCTGACATATAATCAATCACACAGTTATAGCTGACATCTTGACTTTTTGATAACCCCTCCCCACAGCATCCCTGTTTAGTCGGAATGTCAGCCCTGGGACCCTTGCCCAAAATTCACTTTCCTACCTGAGGTAGCACTGCTGGTCTTTGTCCTGCCAACCTCTGCAAGGAACTGACCTGAGGAACTTTAATCGGCACTGAAGTAACGGTTCCCAAAGCCTGCCAGGAAAATTGAAAGAAAAACAAAAGTATTTATTATTCAATTTATCAACTTCATTGGTTGAGGGCTCGAGATTTTGCCTAACCCAGAGAGAAACTTAACACCTGGGCCGTGGTAAGTCAAGTTGTCACCTGTAAAAGCCCTGCTAAACACACAAATTCTTTCAGGGTTCAATCAGATCAGTGGTTCTCAACCTTTTTAATGCCGCGACCCCCAACCAGTCGTAAGTCGAGGACTAAACCGGTCGTAAGTTGAGGACTAAACTGGTCATAAGCCGAGGACTACCCAACCGGTCATAAGTCGAGGACTTTCCCTGCCCGGGAGCGCCGTGCATGCGTGGTTCCGCCCCCTGCGCCGGCCGAGGCGTAGCTGGCAAACGGCAGAGACGGAGCAGGCCGACCACCAGCTGGCCCAGCTCAAGGGAGGTAAGGCACCCGCCGGAAAAGGGGGAAAAAATGGCGGACAGCCTTGCTTGGCAACCCCCGTGAAATGGTCTATCGACCCCAAATGGGGTCGCGACCCATAGGTTGAGAACCGCTGAATTAGATAAACAAACGATATTTAGAAGCTAAAATCAGAGTGAAGAAATGTCTCCAAAAAAAAACATCTCCTTCTTAATCGCTTTTCTTTCTTAGTCCCACTTTTTCTTCTCCTGACAAACCCAAGTCCCAGTTCATTTCAGCAGCTAAGTGAGTTCTGGAGAACAGGAAAAAAAAACTCAAGCAAGACAAAAAGTGCAGACAAAAGAATAAAAAAAAAAAGGGAAAGAACAACTCAGCCAAGCAGTTTCTTTGTATAGCTAAATTCATTTCTCTTGGTACCTGAGGACCCGCCAAGCTGGTTATATGATGTTTTCCAATGAAATTATCATTAGTTCTGTCACCTACATACTCGGAAAATGCCACCAATTTATTTCTCTGAAGAAGTCTGCTGTCACCTCTCAGGATTATGGAGACAAATTATGGTATTCTTCACTTATGAAATTTTTAGTGCTAAACCATATGTACTTAATGTTTACCAACCTCTTAATATTAAAACTTGGCTGTTTAATATTTAACAAGGGAAGATATTAAAAAAAAACATAGGGCGGATCCCCTCTGATTTTTATTTCTATTATTTTTCTATATGCATAGGTAATTCGTGACTTCTATCTATGTGAATTTTGCTGATAAGCTGTCCAGCAGATTCTGCCCAGAACAGAACTATCTTGGAATTGTAATGTGTTGATTTTTTAAAAAAATGTTTGTTTTATTTATCAGTCCGCTAAGAACGGGAGAGAAAAAGCAGATGAGTAACAATCAGGAGATAACATAATAATATGAAAAAAACTGATATACATTGCTACTTATTTATTTATGGTGCCATCCAGCCAACATTTTTAAATACTATTGATTTCAGCTGGAATGAGTTAAGCATATGCAGATGATATTAATGCAACTAATATGGGCAAAAACTGGCTATTTGCGATACAGCCCTGAGCATGAGTAAAATGAGAATAAAGACACTCTTCAGACCCCACTCATTATGGGAGTTGCTACCACCTCAGGCAGAAGTGAGAAAGATAGTGCTCCATTTAATGTAGAGAAATTTAATGTAATGTTGAGAAAAATCGGATTTTACACTTAGGCAAGAAAAACCAAATGTACAAATACAGATTAGGTGAAACCTGACTCAAAAGCAGTAAGTAAGAGGGATCTTAGAGTCCTAGTGAACAATCACTTGTTTGTTTGTTTGTGTGTGTTTGTGTGTGTGTGTTTGTTTATAAAATATATTGGTTGCTGATCTTACCATAAGGCAGTGGTGGCGAATCTATGGCACGGGTGCCAGAGGCGGCACTCGGAGCCCTCCCTGTGGGCACACTTGTCGTTGCCCCAGCCTCGCCTCCCCCCATGACCCCTTCCTCTCCAGCAGCTTTCCTGAAGGAGAGTCGCCCCAGAGAGTGGTCCACACGGAGCAGCACAGCCAAGGACATGGCAGCCAGGCAGCGTAGACAAGACTCTGCCCTCACACCCCATCATGCAGTTCATGCTGCAGGGTGTGGGCAGAGGGTGTGGCCACCATAGCGCTGCTGGGCTGTCTGGGCAATCTGTGGTGGGCCCTGGAGGCAGTGAGTGGTCCTGTGGGCAGGCGGGGTGGGGGATGGGGGGGCGGAGCGGGGCCGGGGCCAGTTTTTGGGCACTCGGTCTCTAAAAGGTTCGCCATCACTGCCATAAGGTTTTTCTGGGTGGCTTACAGTCAAAATATATGTATACACTAGCTGTACCCGGCCACGTGTTGCTGTGGCTCAGTCTGGTTAGCGTGTGTTGCTTTTACGTCCAACAGATGGCGCTGTTTTTCAAAAAAGCATGTTTTTTACCTGTCACAGGTGTGACATCTATATAATAGTAGATATATAAAAACACGCGCGCATTCAAATGCAACATTGTGTCAAAATTTCAAAGCAATCGGTGAAGAACTTTCGGAGATTTAAGATTTTGAACAAACGAACATTTATATTTTTATTTTTATATATATAGATATAGATATATAGATAGATTAGAACATAAACAAATCAAAAGCAAGAATTAAAAACCAAGGGCACATAGGGAGGGCAGGGGCAGAATGGGGGAGGCGGGATCTGTTGTTACTTGATCAACCACCTCCATTGTGCTGTTCCTCCATTGGGGGGAATATGAGCCAGCAGTGTGCAGCAGTAGCCAAAAAAGCCAATGCAATCCTTGGTTGCATAAACAGAAAGATAGAATCAAGAACATGTATCAAGAACAAGTATTAGTACCACCTTATAAAACCTTAGTAAGACCACATCTGGTGGGGGGGGGGTTCAAGAGGCAACTGGACTTTCTTGTTTTTCTTTGAAGACTTTTTGCTTCTCATCCAAGAAATTTCTTCAACTTCTTGGATGAGAAGGGAAATGTCTTCAAAGAAAAACAAGAAAGTCCAGTTGCCTCTTGAAAAAGCACCTTTGGGACAACCATGACCTGAATGATTGAGAATCTCCATAGACACATCTGGAATATTGCATCCAGTTTTGGCCAGCACGTAATAAAAAAGAAGTCGAGACTTTGGAAAGAATGCAGAGAAGAGCAACAAAAATGATTAAGGGCCAGGAGATTAAAACATATGAAGAACGATTTCAGGAATTGGGAATGGCTAGTTCAGGGGTAGGCAATCTTGGCTCTTTTATGACTCGTGGACTTCAACTCCCAGAATTCCCAGAGTTGAAGTCCACGAATCATAAAAGAGCCAAGGTTGCCTACCCCTGGGCTAGTCTAATGAAAAGAAGGACTAGGGGTGACATGATAGCAGTGTTCCAATATTTGAGGGGGCAAGGGAGAGTGATTGGCCCAAAGTCATCCAGCCACAGCCTTCATGGGTAAGATGGGATTTGAACTTTAAGATTCATGGGGCACAAGGTGAAGCTTTCTTCCACTACTGTCTGGTGGCATATATGGAGTCCTGAACAGCTGTAACAGCAATCCTAAACTTTAAAATCTCAATGTACCCAGAGGTCTGAAATAGTGTAATTTTTGCGTTGATGAAGACTAGTTCTATTTTTCATTCTCATTAGACTCAGATGAGGTTTTGACATGAGTGGCTGGGGAATTCTGGGAGTTAAAAGTCTACACATCTTAGAATTACCAAGTTTGAAAAACACTAAGCTAGATGATAAGTAATAAACTGTAGATGAATCTGCAGAATGAAAATGTTACACATTGCTGTGTACAACTGATTCTGCACAGATAAAGAGATATTGTTGTTTAGGCTGAAAATGCTTTGGGAACTAGAGATGTATCTTGAAGGCCTGATTACTGCTTCCAGCGCTGTCTTGGTTGGGAACACAAAACTTAACCTCCACATTTTGTTACTGTCATCATTATACACAAGACTAATCTTGAATGTATTCAAATGCCTCAAGTAGTACAGATTTTGGATGCAGGAGTTGTGTCTACCTTATCCAGGTGAAGGCACTATGTATCCAGTTCAAAATACTACTTTTCTACGCAATGGAGAATGAGAATTTAACCAAAGCTTTGCTATTAAAATTTACCATCAGGCCTTATCAAACTAAATTCAACCCAACATCCTGCTAGATTCAAGATAACCCCTTCTAATTTTCCCATTCCATGCAACGTTGTAATTGTTTTTGGAAAACTTCACAAAGAAATTTGGCTACAGTTAATTCTCCCAATAAAAACTCTCAATACATTTGGCTTAACATCTAAATGAAGAGCAAATAGCAAGTTTCTAGCTTACATATTAGCAAGAATTTAAGGAGCTTTATGTCGTATCTTCTCAGCTGGAAGTTGACAAGGACAGAAGACAGAGCACTGAAGGACACAAGAGCTTAGACCAGGGGTAGTCAACCTTGGCTCTTTTATGACTCGTGGACTTCAACTCCCAGAATTCCTGAGCCAGCTTAGCTTAGCTGGCTCAGGAATTCTGGGAGTTGAAGTCCACGAGTCATAAAAGAGCCAAGGTTGACTACCCCTGGCTTAGACCATCAAAGCTGTGGTAAAACTCAATTTCTTTGTGAATTCCCAGCTCACAGACAAAGCAGAATGGACTGGTATGGGGGGGTTGTGTGTGTGCTTTTATGAGAACAAACTCATATATAAACTGGGAGTAAAGCTCATTCATTATACAGATAGTCCTGGACTTACAACAATAATTGAGCCTGGAATTAAGGTCATGCCGGTCATTAAGCAGATCATCACATGACCGTGACCGATTTACAACATTTTTTGTGGTTGTTTTCTAATGTGGCAGTCATAAATGCCATGGTTGTTAAGCAATCGCTGTGGGTGTTAAGCGAAGTCATCATCTGTAAATGATTGGGTTTTTTGCTGGACACAGGAAGTAAATACCAGTTTCTGACAAAAAATGTCATAAATCATATTCATGTGATCCCAGGATGCTGCAAAGGGTCATAAATGCTGGGCAATTGCTGAGCACCCAAGATGCAAGCAACATGATCATGGGGGTGGGGGGGCATGGATCG